TCCATTCACCTCTGTACATTGTTGCTCCACACACAACCATCCACTTTAACCACAAAGATGAGGATTATTGGTACAAAAGGATCAAGTCTAAGAATAATTGATAGATCTTAGAGCTAAAAGATTGAACACTGATGGAATGTGAAAAGAGCTGAGGTTCCCAAACTAGTGTTCTCTCTCTTTCTCTCTCCTCTCTTTCTTTCTCTCTTTCACTACTGGGATTGAACTCAGGACCTCCTACTTGCTATGGAAAGCACTCTACCACTTGAGCCATACCCCCAATCCTTTTGCTTTTAGTTTATTTTTTAAATAAGGTCTAGCACTTTTGCTGGAACAGCCTTGGACCATGATCCGCCAACCCCTGCCTTAGAGTAGCTGGGACCATGGCATGTGCCACCAGGCCTGGCCTTCCTTTTTCTTTATTTGAAGTCTTTAAGTTGCTTCTTTCTTCCCTCAAGCAACTAGTTTGGGCAAAAGGGCATGTAGCTGCCTCCTGCTTGTGAAGCACCCCATCTTAAGCCTTAATGAGGTGGGTGTCAAAAAGACCTCTGAACTTGTTTTTAGAATGGGCCTTGGACTAGAGGCATTGAAGTCTATTCAGTTCACCATCACCTGACTTCAATCATCAAAGCCATAGGTCAACATTGGTATTTGTGACTAAAGATATATGGCAATAAATAGTGGACTGTTACCTGGACTTGTTCTCTGAACATATGGTCACCAAGTTCAACAAATATTTATCAACTATACACTATAACAAGTCTTTTCTCATGCAGTTTCCTATTCTAGTAGGGGATAGATAGTAAACTAATAAACATTTACTACAATGTCATATGGTGCTAAGAGAGTAGGGTGGTGGTAAGCTATTTTATAGGTGGTCATAAAAGGTCTGTGGAGTTGATATGCTATCAGAGACCCACATGGAATGAGAAAGGGAGCCACATAACTCCCTGAAGGAAGGATTTTTCAGGAAAATAGAATAGCAAGTTGCAAAGGCCCAGAGGCAAGAACAAGTTTAGCAAGTTTACTGTTGGCCAGAACCACCAAGTAGACAGAAGGGTTGGCAGGTGGGAAATGAGATAGGTGGATACTAAGGGCTGTCTTATCACCTTTGTGTTCTCCAAGCCTAGCAGAAGCTGTTCCTGAAACCTTGTGATCCACTAGGAAGCTAAATCTGAGTCCCAATTGAATATTTAAATGTGACTAACAATGGCTTGAAAGAATTAATGTGGCTTTTCAGACTTCTACTCTAATTTCTAATAGAGGAAGAGAAACTGGCAAGCCAGAACTCAAGACTCACAGAACTGGTTTGTCTCAGAGCTTTCTATCACAAGGCTTGCTCTCCTACCATCCCCAAAGGGAGGTAAAATTAATTGTCCCCATTAAGAATAAAGTCAGTACCCTCCAGTCATACGGCCGAACACTGTAGCCAAATCTGGGCTCCTCTTCCACCTGATCCACTCCTATTCTCACTTATTTTTACACTGGATTAACTCATGCTGCTCTGACCCAGAAAGTCTGTGATCAAATGTTCACAATATTTTATAAATATAAAATCCTATATTTTTCTGCACATATTTTGAATATAAGTCATGTTACCTGTGTGTAGATTACCTACATATTTTTTCAAAAATAGAGAAATTACTCTTTATCATCAAACTTTGAATTTTTTCATTTACTATGCAATAAAAAAATCATATGGGTTTAACATCTGTTATCCTTAGCTGGAAATATGATTTAGCCCTAAATTAGTACTAGATTTTATCAAGGGTCTATTATTATGTTTCCCAAGCTAGGGGAGAGGAGGAGAGCCATTCTATCAATGAACAATGGAGCGTTGTAAGAGTCTTATTGCAGGGTAGTAGCATAGCCTATAATGCCAGAACTCAGGAGGTGGAGGCAAGAGGATTGCTACATAGTAAGACTATTCCCATTTTTTAAAAAAAGTTTTCATTATCAGGGGACAAATTTGCACCCTTGTGGATTCCAATTTTTGTTCAGAATTTGCCTTCTGAAGTCACTTAAAGCAATCTATCTGCCTAGTCCATTTTGGCACAGCCACTAAGGTGTAAGAGCCACCTAGGCTTCATATCCCTAGTTCCTCCATGCCAAGCATCCTCTCAGTTTTCTCTAGACACCTGTTTTCCAATCTCCTCAGTTTCCAGGAGGTTGTTGTTCTCCTCTAGTTCATCTACAAGTAGTTTCATTAAACATGGAGCTAAGGATTAAAATGGTTCTCCACATATTGTCTTACCAGCACAGAGAGACACACCTCTGAAGCTGACTCCACAGTTTTGTCCTCATTAGGCAGTGTCTTTTTCTCTCTCTCTCTCTCTTTTTCTCTCTCTCTCTCATGTTCCTTCCTCTCCTTGGATCTCTTGTTATTTGTGGATATCACTTAACTATTTCTCTGCCCCCTTTCCTGAAAAAAATAAACAGACTCAGTGTTCAGTACCTAATTCTCTTTTTCATGCCTCAAATCATCTTTGTTCCCCATGTTTAGGCTTTCTATTTGGGCATGTGTTTTTCTTTAACTCTGTGGCATTTGGTACAGTGATCAATTATTCTGGGTAATTGCTCCTCATTTAGGAATCCCTATTCTTCCTCATTAAAGACCAGACAAGACTTAAGTCCTCTCATTGACCAGGTGCACCAGATCTCTTACTTAACCCCAATTTGCCATTTTGCAGTTTAGTGCTTAAGAGCTCACTCACTGAGGGGAATAATTTGAAGAGCTTTTTCAGTGAGGGCACCTGGCTCCTCTCTTCTGTGTTCTTCCTAGGGTAAGAGGTACAGCTCTGTTTTCCTCTGAACTCCAGTTTGGAATCACCCCCACTCTGCCAAATAATGAAAGAGAGGACCCTGGGTTTTTTTTTTTTGGTTTTGTTTTTGTTTTTAAGGGGGAGTGATCATGCATCTTAACAAACCCTGACCCAATTAAGCTTTTTCTCCTAGTTCCCAGGCATCTTAGTAACCATTATCCACTTTGTCATTCTGAGATTGTAAAATGAGGTTTAATGGCCCTTTCACATTACTTGTAGCTACACCAGCCTTTTAAATCTCCCTTCCATGTGTCTCCTTTACTGGTTGATCTTATTTCCGGCTGTTATAAATGTGATTTCTTCTTGCTTATTAGACATATCCCCTAAAAATATGTGCAGTGAGAGTTCGTGTGCTACATATCTAAGAATTCAGATGAGTTGAAGTGGGCATTCAAAGAGAAGTATCCTCTTTGGAACTGTAACTTTAAATTCCAGCCAGCAGACCTTTGAAGACGTAAATTGAAGAAGCAGCTCTCCTTTTGGACAGCTTAATGATCTGTAGTTAATTGTATGAGGCTGATGGGTAGATGCAGTACAACAGGGCTTACATTAGCCTTTCTCAGCTCTCCAAATGACACAGTGATGACAGCCATTGGGGCATGGAATCCTGTGGGGAGTCAGTAACCCAAAGTGTGAAGATTGGATGGTAGGTTGTCAATACGGCCTGTTCTCCATACATGGACAAGTTGTTCTGTCCCAGCCAGTAACTGATGCTTCCTTCCTGCTCTGCCCCAGACTAGACAGTCACCTGAAAGCAAATAGCCCCTTCAAGAACTCTGAGAGGAAGAGTGCTAGATTTAGGGCCAACTGCTCTTACTTGAATTGCACTAAACTTGGAGAAACTGAGTGCAGTCTCCTGATAGGAAATGAACATCTGAGAGCCACAATATCCAGTTTCTGGAGGTGGTTGGTACAAGCTTATGTCTTTTGTGCAAAACTGGCTCAGAGTTAGTCTGTGCAGGGGTATCAGATCCAGTTACAATTTCCAACATCTTTTTATCTGTCCTCAAAAAGTCCACGTGAACTCAAGAACAACAAAAGTTTGATTCAAAAATGGACAAAGGACGTGATTAGACATTCTCCAAAGATATACAAATAACCAACAGGCACATGAAAATATGTCCAGCATCACTCAGCTTTAGGAGAATGCAAACCAAAACCACAATTAGTTACCATCTCATATCTGTTAGGATGACTATTATCAAAAAAAAAATGCCCCAGAAAATTACAAGTCAGAAACAGTGACACGAACCTGTAGTGTAGTCCCAGCTACTCAGGAGGCTGAGGCAGGAGAATCACTTCAGCCAGGAATACAACAACACCCTAGGCAACACAGTCAGAGCTTGTCTCAACACTAAAGAAATTATAAATGTTGGTGAGGATGTTGAGAAGCTGGAAGCCGTGGGACGGTAAATGGCATAACAGTTGCAGAAAGCTGTATGGTGGTTTTTCAGAAATTGAAATAGAATTACCATAGGTCCATCAATTCTACTTCTATGTATCTACCTCCAAAAATTGAAAGCAGAATCTCCAAGGAGTATTTGTACACCTGTGTTTCTAGCAGCATTATTCACAGATCCAAAAGGAGGGAGGGGGCAACCCAAGTGTCCATGAATGTATAACCTGTCAAAAAATGTGGCATAGACATATCTATTATTCAGTCCTAAAAAGGAAGGAAGTTCTGATACATGCTACTACATGGATGAATGTTGCCAACATTATGCTAACTGAAATAAACCAGTCACAGAAAAGAAAAATGCTACATGATTCCAGTCACAGGAGGCACCTAAAGCAGTGAAATTCACAAAACAGAAAATAGAATGGTGGTTGCCAGGGGTTGGGGAGAGAGACAGGGGGGGTGTTTGTTTAATGAGTACGGAGTTTTAGTTTTAGAAGATGAAAAGAGTTCTGGGGATTGATGTTTGCACAATGTGAAAATACTTAAGTCCACTGAACTTGTTATACTTACAATTGGTTATGATGTTATTTAAACTATGTATGTTTAAGCTTTGTGAATACACAATTGTGTATTTCACCACAAGTTTCTTAAAGCGAAGTGGAAAATACCATCTTTTCTGAGAAGCCAGAGTTTTGGAGGTAAAGATAAAAGGAGAGAAAAAATAGGAGCGGGAATGGATCTTTTCTTAGTATGAAACTAATACAAATTTTTTTTTTTAACAGAGTCATTTTTCTCTCAAAAAGGGAGCTGCAGCTTTAGGGATTGGAACAGACAGCGTGATTCTGATTAAATGTGATGAGAGGTGAGCATGAATCTGCAACTCTGGTTGGTTAGCAATTTGCAAATTCCTCACAAATACCAGGTCAGCAAACAAGAACCAACTGTCAGGTAGTAGACCTGCCTCCATCTCAGACTCTGCCATTCACCATTTCTTTTCACATGGGCTCTTGTTTGGTGTCCACAGATGTTCCTTGATGCTGTGGAGTCTTTCACAGCTCTTGACTGAATCAGAACCTTTGTTAAATCAATCAAAATATTCTTCACCATGATGGTGTGGAAGGACATTTATCACCTGGGCATTTTAGCAACACTAAGCACTCAGGGTGCTGATTTATGAGGTAGCACCATTTCAGCATCATGGATTGTGTAAACTTGCTGGAGTGATGACAGAATGGGGGACAGTTTAGTGCTCAGGAAGTGAATAATGCCCAGCAACTCAACAATCCCACAAAGGGATTTCTCTTGGGAAAAATTCCTGTCTTAATTAGCACCCAAAGCTCATAGGTGTACAGGGATTAGGTGTGGTGCTTTGTGGGAAAATTTCAAAGTATCTTCAGCATATCCAGCTAATGTATCACTGGCTGGAACCTACACAAAATTAGATTCAGTGTGTAAAGGGTTGAGTGAGAACTTTCACTAAATTAAAAAGATGCTACACAATTAAGCATTTATTTACTCATATGTTTATCAGGCAGCTGCATGTCATTGCTCACCCTGTCACTAGGCTCTTGAAAAGCACAGGGCATCATCTCTGTTCCCTGACAGCAAGTGATGTGGGTGGGAAGATACAGTGGCATCAGAAGAAGACAATTATATGGCCAAATTAATTAATTATGTATGTCACTAAGACATGGAAAACACCAGGCAGCAGATGTGATGAGCTGGATTTTTCAAATTGGAGATGAGTTGGATGGGAGGAAGGAAAGGCATGGGCAATGGCATAAGATTGAATACTGTAGGCAAAGCCACAGAGGAAGAAGGAATGAGCACTTTGTGGAGCTTGAGGAGTGAATCTAGCCATCTGGGCAGCCCTGGCAAATTTGGTTGGTCATGTAGGACTTTGTAAGCTCTAAAAACCCAGTAAGTCCATAACCACATTTACCTCTGGATAGTGAGATGAAAGAGGATTGCTACTTTCTTATTTACACCTTGCTATATTGCCTGATTTTGTGTGATTGCTTGCAATGAACACGCATTATTTTTGCGGTCAGAAAAAAAAAGATATGTTATTTTCCTTTGGGAACAGGGGAACTAAACTTAGCATTTGACCTTGATAGATCTGGAAACAAAGGAACTTGAAAACATTTTTGTCCAAGTAAGATGTGAATGAAGCCACCTTTCAAAAAATAGGAAAGGGAAAGATCTCTGGTCATTAACCAGGAAAGAAACTCTTGCAGTAAGGTAGGCACAAAGTGACAAAGGTTGGAGTAAAGCAAATAGATCTTGAAAACAAACCGTCTTGTGTTTTTAAGACAACCAATATGAGGCATTGAAGAATTGAGATTTGAAAAGAAACTGGCAACAAATGCTAATTTTGTATTTATTATTTTCATTCTATTGCTGGAATAAATTGCTAAAGAGAAAGCAAAAGAATACATGGAATAAAGGTTTAGATGACTTTTCCATTTTGTTTTATATGTAACTAGTCTATGTAAGGAGTCCTAGAATTCATGAAAGAGTCACTTGGACAGGTCTTGGCCTTCTAGCCTGCTTAGTCTTCTTCATTTGCCTTGCTAGCAGGTGTTTTGGATTTGAATTCCAATAAAGTGATTTGTGACCTGGGAGAATAGATGGGGCTCTTCACTCCATTCAGGATCAGTATTGCTGCTTCTACTCCTGTGGAAATGAGGCATGACTGTTGAAGTGGCCCACAGTCTCACCAGTGGGTACTCAAGGGAGCAAGAGGCTGGCCTCTTGACAATTGACTGTCTGAAGGCAGTATTGTGATTGAAAGAGAAATGTAGGCCTGGGAAAGGGGCCAACAGGCAGTGAGAACTGAGGGCTTTTTCTCTTTCTGTTCATGAACCTTGTGGGAGGGGGAAAGAGGAGGGGACAATATAGGAAGAAAGGAAATAAGAAAGCTAAAAAAAAAGGAGGGAAAAATAAGGCCGGGGAGATTGTGAATTGTGAAGTGAAGCAAGAGGGAGGAATATAGAAGGAAATGAGGGTAGAAACGGTAAATGCAGTGAAAGCTTCAAAAAGAATAAATTATAATTTTTGCATCCAAAAAGCACTACTTGCTTACTTAAAAAAAAGGAAAATAATTGGAAAAAACATAACTTCACCACCCAAAGATCACAGCTAATAACATGTTGGTGTCTAACTCATGAAATCTCTTTTTCTAAACAAACAGATCTCTCTTCTTTCTTTTCTCTCTTTGTTTTCTCTTTATATATTGTGATCATGTTTCCTTCTTAACTAGACAGGGTAACATAAATATTTTCCCACACTATTATAAACACAGACACACTTAACTATATAATTCAGAAAGTGTTAGAGTACTTTACAGAGTGGCTCTAGAGCTGAACTGTTATGTCGAATCTCAGCTCCAGTACTAACTTGGGCAAATGTCTTCTCTGGTCTGTTTCTTTATCTGAAAAAAAGGAAAAAAGGTAATGGTATCTGCTTCATAGGATTGTTATAATGGCAAATATAAAATGCTGAAATTGGTACCTCAAATGGGATAAGCACAAAATATTACTCTGCTACTGTCTCTACTTCTGGTATTACTGTTATAAATAATCTTTCCATCTTTCAGTGAGCATCCTTATATGTCCACAACTTCTCCGTATAAATACTAACATAAATTCTATGGATGCTTTTAAGGAAAGGCATACATCAGGCCAAATCGCCTTTCAAAAGGTTTCACCAATTTATTCTTCTATCTGAAGGTGTCAGACTACGTTGAGAAAAATTAGAGTTGTATTACTGTCTACATGTACTCTTTAATTCTACATTGATAATTTAAATAATCTGTATAGGTATGAATTTAAGCCTAGAATTCTGACCTTAATGGGGTTTTTTCCTTTTATTAGTGAGCATGTTTTCATTAGGAAAAAATTTTTCTTTGTCTTATTAGTATATAATAATAGCATATAATAATTGTACAAAGTGAGGGACGTCATTGTGTACTTTGAGCATTTTTGCCCCTCTCTTACACTTTCTTATCCCTCCTCCCTGCAACTTTTAAACTTTCTTGCAAATTTTTATATGGGTTCCATTATGACCTTTTTGTATGTACATAAACCTTAATGATTTAAGTGAAATCAAAGTGTTTGGGGTCAGGAGCTAGGGAGAAGGCCTTGGACAGTCATTTGTAGTTACCATTCTGGTCCAAATCGGTTAAAACACTCTCATGGCCGTTTCGTTTTTATTATTGTGTTCTTGGGGAAGTCAGATGTGCAATGCAGAAAATCATTTAAGTGTGGCAAAGTGAAGCCCTACTTCATTTCCCCTAATGTGTTTTGTAAATTCTTTCAGACTGCTCCTAACTCCAACCTACATCTGTCCTATAAGGCTTTCTCTTTCTCTGACTACGCATAGTAGGAAAACAGTGGCTGGAGTGATGGGTTTTATCTTGTCCTCTGGCAGATGGTTCACAATTGAAAGAAAATGTCTTAGTGAAGGAGAGCAGTCTGTATTTTTCTAGCAACAAGCCCAAATCCATATGTGGAGCAAGATTCCATGAGGTATCCTCCCTTAATTAGCACTCTCAGTGACTTATTTGGTGACACATTCAAAGTGAGACAAGTTCTCAGTTAAAATGAAAAGGAGAAATGTATAGTAAATCCTCATTTGTTTGGACTAGGTTCTTTCAGAGCATTTCAAATATTTTAATTTTATTATGCGTACTCTACTAAAGCAGAGAAGCAAAAGGTAATGCAAAATCTCAATTTACCATCACTTATATTTTAATGGAAATTATCAAAACTAAAGCATAGTATTTTATTTTATAAAAATTACTTCAAAAGAGTAAAAGCATAAAGTAAATCCTTGATTTTATAAATCCTTCCTGAGCTCAAACCCCCGTTACTAAATAAAAAGAGTTTTCTTAGCAAAACTTTGAATATTCATAATGATTGGGTAAATGAATTTTTTTTTTTTTTGGTGGTGGTGGTACAAGGGTTTGAACTCAGGGCCTCACACTTGCTAGGCAGGTGCTCTACCACTAGAGCCACTCCACCAACCCTTTTTGTTTTGGTTATTTTTGAGGTAGGGTCTCACTTTATGCTTGTGCCAGATGGACCCAATCTTCCTATTTGTGCTTCTCTGTATAGCTGGGATTACAGGCATGTGCCACCATACCCAGCCATTGGTTGAAATGGGAGGACCTCCCAAACTTTTTGCCTGGACTGGCCTTGAACCATTGTCTTCCTGATCTCTGCCTCCCAAGTAGCTAGGATTATAAGCTGGATAAGTGAATTTTTACTCAAATGTCATTGGCTCTAATATTTGCAAATTTTGAATTAGTAGAATCCAAATTAATGATGTGCTGATGTACTTAATGATAAAGTAGAACAGTGAATTAATATTTATCTGAAAATATTTGTGAAAAGGAACTGAGTGATATTTCAGAATTAGATTAGGCCACTTAGCAAAAAGAGATTACTCAAAGATCCAGTTAGGGGAGAAGGAAAGGAAAAATACATAGATGATAATTTGGAAAGGTATATAAAGTTCTTACATTATGGAAGTGGCTTTAGGCAGAGGCCTTGATTGGGAGTCCAGTGGCAGAGAAGGTAGACATAGTCACAGATAACTATGAAACTTGGTGTGAAACAAGCAATAACACTGAAGAAGACAAAGCACTATAGCAGAAGAAGAACAGGGTGCTATCAGTATTCATCTAATTCTGCATCAGGAGGAAGGATGACGAAAATTAACCAGATGAAAAGGAAAGAAAAAAATATTCCAGGCAGATCTACAGCATATTCTAAACCATGGAGGTGAGAGAGAGTTTGGCTTGGTCATGGAGTAGGAAGAAGTGCTCAGGGAGTAGGGATGTTCACAATGTCCTTGTTA